ATTCATATTGAATGGTGAGATAGCAAAACACAACTTTACAATTAAAAAAACCAAATACTATCAATTATAAGTGAGTAAGTATTTCATAATGAAAACAAGTATAGAGAAACAGAGATAAAAATGTCAGAAAACAAAAAAGAAACTAATTTGTAATCTCGTTTTAATTCGATTGGCTCCCAAAACTCCGTCTGAATTACTGCCACTCCCATAACCTGGTTTACCCTTGTCAGTGTTGCAGGTTATAGGGGCTGACATGGAAAAAGCGTCTAGTCGTTCGAATTTAACAATAAACCGAGGCCCTGTGTGCTACAGGCTGTGCACTTTAAAGATCCCTCAACAGTTGGAAATCGAAGAAGGGCACACTAATGCCGTTGTCCTGGCAAAATTTTCCTCATTGCACCCAGCATGGCGTTGCCCGTCTTCATTAACCCACATGGTGTGATTAGTCCACATGGTGTATAGCCCACATGGTGTCATTAGCCCACATGGTGTCATTAGCCCACAAGGTGTCATTAGCCCACATGGTGTCATTAGCCCACATGGTGTCATTAGCCCACATGGTGTCATTAGCCCACATGGTGTCATTAGTCCACATGGTGTATAGCCCACATGGTGTCATTAGCCCACATGGTGTCATTAGCCCACAAGGTGTCATTAGCCCACAAGGTGTCATTAGCCCACATGGTGTCATTATCCCACATGGTGTCATTAGCCCACAAGGTGTCATTATCCCACATCGTGTCATTAGTCCACATGGTGTATAGCCCACATGGTGTCATTAGCCCACAAGGTGTCATTAGCCCACATGGTGTCATTAGCCCACAAGGTGTCATTAGCCCACATGGTGTCATTAGCCCACATGGTGTCATTATCCCACATCGTGTCATTAGCCCACATCGTGTCATTAGCCCACATGGTGTATAGCCCACATGGTGTATAGCCCACAAGGTGTCATTAGCCCACATGGTGTCATTATCCCACATCGTGTCATTAGCCCACATCGTGTCATTAGCCCACATGGTGTATAGCCCACATGGTGTATAGCCCACAAGGTGTCATTAGCCCACATGGTGTCATTAGTCCACATCGTGTCATTATCCCACATCGTGTCATTATACCACATCGTGTCATTAGCCCACACTGTGCAGAAAAGAAGGATGTAAAACTCCATTCATTTCATTTCATAACTTA